TTGCACAAGCCACACCCTATGTCTGGAATTCATAGATATTTGCCTCACCTCACCTTCCAGAATCCTTAGTTTCTATCAAGGCCTCTTTCTCCATGTAGCCTTCTCTGATTTCCCTAGCTGAATATGTTCTCTTCCTCCTGAAATACTTGTAGAGCACTGTGGATTTCTTCTTAACTGCCCATCACTACCTAACCTGGAATATTATACTTATCTGCATGTATATTATATCCCTCATCCCACTCTATCCCCACCTCCCAGTAAAATGTGAGCCCTTGAAGGCAGAGCAGGGTCTCTGTCATTTCTCTTTTGTGTCTCTAGGGCCTAGCTCCCTCACACATAGTAACTACTTAGTTACTGCTGAATTGGATTGAAGATGTATGTGTCAAATGAGATAGCTCTGTGACTACTTAGGTCGGAGCTCTGACTTGCTTTGGGTATTTGTCATAGATCTATCTACATACAGCCATTCCCCAGAGTATTCCAGAACCCATGAGTTTTCCTAACCTGGAAAGTACCAAGTGGCCCAAATCTCTTGACTATAAGGCAACCCCTCACCTCAGTGAGTGCCCACAACACACTGATTATCCTCTAAAGTAGGTGGGGGGCTGGGGGAAACATGTAGTGATGTTCTAAGGAACCAGCAGTCTTGGTCAAGTCCCTGCTCAGCTGAACAACTTGTAAAAAAATACTCCAAAAAAGTCAACAAAGGAAGAGTGATTATTCTGAGCTTTTTCAAAGTATGAAGTCCTCTTTTGAAATTTTGTTTCCACTCTTTTAAATAGCCATTTCTGTAACAATAGCTCCTAATTAGATCTATTTATTTTGACAGCTCATGTCCCCTGATAAAAAGGGCCATATGCAACATTTTCAAATTAAGAATTTTCCCCTGAAAAGCATGCTATTATTAACTATATGAAATATCAAGGCTTTGGGAAGCGGGTGGCAATCAAAAACTGGAAAAGTCAATTTTTTTTATCACAGTCTGGTTTTTGCCTTGGGTTTCATTATTTAAAGAAAAAAGCTAGAAATAAACTCAATAAGTAGCTATTGGGGAGAGATGGAAGAGCAGAACTGCCACCAGCTGGACTATGAATGCTCAAGGATCACCATGTCCTAGTCTCTCCTATCCACCCCCACCCCCTCAACACCCAGAGCATCCAGGCCAGTGCTCCATACACAACGAGCAATCAGTTACGCCTGTGGGTAGCAATAAAGCCCAACATGAGGCAGGGCAGAACAAGTAGAATGATAGACTGACCCATGCCAAAATTTCAAATTAGGAAAAGTTTGTCTTTAGTGCTTTTCCACTCTCTTCTTGTCAATCTATTCCCCTTCACCTGGCTCTCTGAAGCCCCATGCTATACCACCTGGATATTCCCACTGGCTGTCCACCATGCCTGAAATATTCTCCCTCTTCATCTCTGCCTCCAGGCTTCCTTGGCTTCCTTCAAGTCTTAGCTAAAATCCCACCTATGAGGCCTTTCCTGATCCCCCTAAAGCTAGTGTCTTCCCACTGTAGATTATTTCCAGTTAACCCTATGAATAGCTTGTTTGTACACAGTTGCTTGCATATTGTCCCTCCCTGTCTTTCACTATTAGACTGAGCTTGAGAGCAGGGGCTGTCTTTTGCCTTTCTTTGTATGCTAAGTGTTTAGCATAATGCCTGTCTCATAAATGATACTTAATAAATGCTTACTGACTGACTCACCCACCCCCATAACTGTCCCATGTTCCCAGGCCTTTTCTGTTATCCAAAGTCCCATTCCCTCTCAACTAGCCTGGGTTCAGAGGATCCAGGGCTGGTAAGCTCATCTAGTCCACTCTCCCACCCCCATCCCCCATTTTATCCATGAAGCCAAGATTACTCACCTATCAAGCTGCACAACTAGGATTCAAATCCAGGCCTTTTGATTCCAGATCTAGCTCTTTCTGCCGCATCGGACTGACTTTGTGTGCTGACTCCTTAATCGACACAGTTCATTTCCTGGGATGTTTTAGCACCATAGCGTTTTACAGGCTTTAACAATTGATATGCATGTGCTGTAGAGCACTGGACAGAGATGGGAAGGAGGACCATGGTGAAGGGAGAGGGGTTAGACTATCAATCCCAGGAACCTGCCTTTGCAGAAGAAATTCACCCCATTGTATTTTCAATCCTATCAGGGGGCAACCATGGAAAGGTATTGGAAGGAAGAGGCTAGGTAGGAGAAGACAGTTTGGCTAGGTGTGGTCTGGGATTGCTTTGGGAGATTGCCTTGGAATGCCTGTTTCATTAAGTTTCAGTCTATCTTTTCAGACTAATTACACACTATTCCCCCTCACATTCAGTCAAACCTAGATATTTGCCATTCGCTGCACACAAGCTGCCTTTCATCTCTATGTGTTTACATAGGCTGCACCCTTGCCCGCTCCTCCCCCTCCCCCCATTCCAGAAATGCTCTCTCTCCTCAGCTCTACCTTTGGAACCCTCAGCCCTCTTTAGGCCTCAGCCCAGGTGCCACATCCTACAAGATGTCTTTTCTTCCAGGGTTAAACAGTAAAATCATCTGTGCCTCCCATCCCCTATTTTGTTTTTGTTCAGTCATTTTCAGTTGTGTCCAATTCTTCATTACCTCATTTAGGGTTTCCTTGGCAGAAATACTGAAGTAGTTTGCCATTTCCTTCTCCAGTTCATTTTACAGAAGAGGAAATGGAGGCAAACAAGGTAAAGTGGCTTGCCCAGGGTCTCACAGCTATTACATGTCTGAGGCCATATTCGAACTCAGGAAGATTAGTCTTTTTGACTCCAGACCTGGTACTCTGTACACCATGGCGCCACCTAGCTGCCCATCCCCAATTACTCTACACTTACTTTGTATACACACAGTGCATTTACTTATCTGTTTACATGTTATTTTCTTCTAATAGGATATAAGTTTCTTAAGGGCAGAACCTATTTCAATTTTTGTCTTTGTAGCTTTTTGGAGGAAACAAGTACTTATTAAGCACCAGGTACTGTGCTAAGTGTTTTTCAAATATCTCACTTGATCCTCACAAATAATCCTGGGAGGTAGGTGTTATTTTAATCTTAATTTTACAATTCAGGAAACTGAGGCAGAGGTTAAGTGACTTGCCCAGGGTCACAAAGTTAATAAGTATCAGAGGCCAAATTTGAACTCAGTTCTTCCTGATCCCAGGCCCATAGCTATATCCATTAGTACCTTAGTACCTAGTATAATATCCAGCACCCAACTAATACTTAAAAATGCTTTGAGTTTACATATAACAGTGGCAACAGTATTCTAGCCACCGAAACATAATGGTTCAATCAAGGGGGGAATGTGGCAGTGCCTTCTAAAGATGGTAAGAATGGCTTTCACATTTCTGGATTTCCTGATACACCCTTCATTTGTAGTATGGCATAGTTGGGTCTTTGCCAGAAACAAAATGACTTATGGAAAAATTGCTTGGTTGGGTAACATTTTGCCAATGAGAAGAGGTACTGTCCAACTAAGCAGAATATATGTAGACTGGCATTCCATCTCTGGAGTCTGAGATTTGGGGCAAATCACTATTACCAGTCATCTCATCATCAAATGACATTCATTAGTCAACTAGTTCAAAGTTTCCCAAAGCTCAACCAGATTTCTCAGTTCTCTTCCTAGGACCATTCTACCTTTTGTCAATTGAGTTTTGACAGCTCTGGGCTAGAAGGCCACGAGTTAGAGAGAAGAAAGTAGGACGACAAGAGAGAGGAGGAGAAGGAAAAGTTTGTTTTTAATTTTATAGGTTTCAAGAAGAGTCTTTGGAAGTCAAAGTTTTCCAGGATAATAAAACTTTGCCATCCACTAATCATTAGGAAACACTGAGAGTTCAACTTTTTATCCAACATGGAATTCTTCTATAACATCCCTGAGAGATGGCCATCTAGCCTCTTGAGCACCTCCAATAACAGGGAGCTCACTACCTCAAAAAGTAGTCCATTCCATTTTTGGATAGCTGTTCTTGCCTCCATTTTCCCTGCTTGAAATATGGAAGCCAACTATCCTTAAGGCTGAGGAAAACATATCTAAGTAAATATAGAAACACACGCAGGTAAACTGGTAATATCGTTATTCATGCTAACGAAGGGAAGAAGGAGCATGAGTAATATCTGGACTGAATACCTTCACCTCACTTAAATCATTATGTCCTCTTTAAAGCAATTTCCTAGACAACACAAAATTAACATCCACAACGTCCTCTCTTCTGTTTTCTCTTTCTACCCTCAAGAGTGGTGCTAATAAAAATCAAAAATGATGAGTAACAAAAGGAACAGAAGAAGCAACATCCCAGCTGTCTAATGCAATTTGAAGCCCATGCTCTTATGAACCAGTTCCACACTGTGTAATCAGCTTCTGGACAACTAAGAGTTTGTTATGTAAAGGGACACATGATGTTCTGAAAAAAAAGGAATAACAGTGGCATGAAGCCATGATCTGACGGGTCATTAGGTTCAGATCAGTATCTGAAGCTTATCCCAAGGGTAGATCTAGAAATTTCATAAGAACAGGTGCCCTTTCATACTATTTCCATTACTTCATAGTTCAGTGACTCTTGCCACTGAATTCTCTCAACAAAGGAAAATGCAAAACAGCAAAGGAGGCCTGGAGAGAGTCGGATAGATTTATAAAAAGCATAGGAAAAGTCTTACTCCAATACAGTCAAAATTCACAAGGCTAGAACCAATATTTAAGGAGTTACTTCTTCAATCAAATAATTCTCTAGACTTGGGTGCAAATTCCTGTCAACCTAATGAAATCTATTTAATAACATTCATGTTCATTGTCTTCATCTCCTAATTTTACTTATTTGAATTAAAGTATCACAGGATACATAATGGATCACAGGCTTAACCTTTAAATATCATTTTTTTAAGATTATAGCTGATATTTAGGTAACACTTTAAGGTTTCAAAGCACTTTGCATCCAGCTATTTTATAGATAAGGAAACTGAGACCCAGAGAGGTTGAGGAACTCACCTGTGGTCACTCAGCCAGCAAGCACCAGAGGCAAGATTCAAACCAGAGTTTCTCCTGATGAGTCCAGATGTTTGTCCACTACATTTCACTGTAGAATCAACAATAGAAAGGACACTCTTTTAAATTAATTTAAAATATTATTGTGCTATAAGAAAAAAGTGAGGAAATCTGAAAAATGTGGAAATGTACATGAACTGTTGGAGAATAAAATAAGTAGAATCAGAAGAAGCCTATGCATGATAAATCAATAATACAAGTAGAAAGAATACTAAAATGACCTCAAATGCTGAGGAATTAAAATGACCAAACTTGTCAGAAGAAGAGATGAGGATGTATCTTTCAGGATGGGAAATGGTGAGACTAGGGGTTCAGAATGCAGCATATACATTGTCAACTACAGTCATTGTCTTGATTTGGGTTTTGCTTAAATTTCTGTTCTAAAGGAGGGGCTCACTTGGTGGTGGTAGAAACAGAGTGGCATTACATCATAAATGACTGATATAAAAGCAATAGGGATTAAAAACTTATTAGAATAATAATAATAAAATTTTCTACCTGAAAAGGGAGGAGGGGAGAATTTAAGAGAAAACCAACCACCAAAAAGAGGAAATGTGCTACAATTTTTTCATCTATAAAAGCTGTAAACCAAACACAAGGAAATTTAAAAACATTAATAGAACAAAAGAATAATAATAGTCAAAGAAGAAAGGCATTCAATTATTTCATTATATGGACCTCCTTCCTGAGTGCCAGATAAAGCAGAAAGAGTTAACACCTATTTCCCCAGAGTAAGTAATTAGCTCCCACTCCCAAGTGTATTTTCCATGGCAGCCTGAGACTCTGTCACTGATAATTCTCTGCCTCTGGAGGTGTGTGCACCGACCAGATGCATCAATGTCAATTCAAGGCCACACTGCTGAGTCTTGCCCCAGTACCAGCCATGAGCCTTTCTGTGCTAAATTAGAATTGTCTCTAACACTCTGCCCAAACAGGGATGTCCATTCCTACAGAGACCTCCCTCTGACTTAGTAATGCACTGTTTTATTAAAGAACATTGACATTATCCTCAGAATTTGTTTGCAGCATCTGACTCAATCAACAGATCTGCCTGGCCTAATAACTGACACACTCTGTCCTTTTCCCTGCAGCGTCCTAAAGAGAGAGCTTCTCGTTTGATTGCTAACCTTTTAGAGAACCAGAAAGTGCTGCCTGACAAAGCACTCACAGTGTTTACAGAGCAGAAAAAAATCCCCTAAAATATGTGGCTCAGTCTTATGTAAAAAGCAACAGAAAGGTCCACCAAGAGTCTAAATTTGAGAGTGGACTACTAAAAAAACCTGATTAATCTCATATTTTTGTTGATGATTCTGCCAAAGGAGACTGCTATTTCTGCACCCAGTTGAGACCCAAAAGACTAAATGCGAGCACTAATGTTACCCACACTTCACCAAGGAAAACACTCTCCGTAATTGTAGCCATAATACTGTTTTCACTTCCACATCATGGGGGTTAGGGACACAGTGCCCTCTCAATCTGGAAAAAGCCACATACCATTTTTTGGCCCTCTCTTCATACCAGAAAAAAGTCTGAATTATTATGTTATTAAAAGATAAAAATGTTGATATCATACAATATTATATGTGTACTTTATACATTTCTGAGTTTCTGAACTTTTTCTGTGTCATCTATTGGCCTTTGCATGATGTCTTCAGCTTCCACAAAACTCCCCCCAAGTTCCCATTTAATTTCTTACGCTTAGTCACAGTAAATTGAAACCCACAGTGGGGAAAGTTGTCATGTGGAAAGGATAACTGTAGTCACTTACTGCCACAATGATCTCCTTCCTTCCTGATTGCTGCTCCATGTCAGATTACTGTCTATGCCCACCTTTTTTGGTTTCAGCTGACCACAAATAAACACCACGATTTGAGGAGCCCTCAAACCCTCCTTCCTTCCTTCCTTGCTCACTTCATCTCATCATGCAAAAGCCACGTTAGTGTGCTGCCTCCCTCCAACTCAGCAGTCGCACTGTGATATGCTCCATGTCAGTGGTGACATTGCTTATATTCCAGGACCTCTATGTTGGTGATCATATCTTGACATTTAACATCTAGTAGGATCTATTAAAAATGTAGGATCACAGACACAGCTAGGTGGCACAGTGGATAGAGCACCTGCCCTGGAGACAGGAGGAACCGAGTTCAAATCTGACCTCAGACACTTACTAGCTGTGTGACTCTGGGCAAGTCACTTAACCTCAACTGCTTAAAAAAAAATACATACATACATATGTATGTGTGATCATAGATTAAGAGTTGGAAGGGATCTTGAAGATCATTGAGTCCAACTCTTTCATTTGACAGTTGTGGAAATTGAAGATGAGGGAAGACAAGTGATATGGCCAATGTGAACTCAGGTCTTCCTGATTCCAAACCCACCACAATGCCTTGCTGCTTCTCATTACATATATCATATAGACAAATAAGGCAGGACATAGAAAAAAGCAAAGATGACAAAACTTTCTTTGGTATACTTCATTCCATTTCTGTGCTTCTTTCTCCTTCTTACTACCCAACTCTAGCTGCTATTAAGCAATAATCAACAAACATTTGATGACCAAGCAATTTCCCAAAACTCACCTTCCAAACACATACACACACGAACAAGCTATAGAACTGCCGTTAGCCTTCCTTCCAAAGATGTTCCCCTTGCTTTGAATTTTTGCTCTCTTCCTCTATCACAACTTACCTGTCCTACATCCCATTCCTTTAGAACCTAACGAGATAACAGATCAGACAAGCTAATATTAATGACTGATGTTTTAACAATATTCATGAAATAGTAAAAGACTCAGAAGAATGTCTGGAGAACATTGCGTAACTTCTCTGTAGAGGATTTCCAGAAAGACATGAACGAGAACACATGGATAGGTAGCAATTATTGTGTATCAGCTAAGAAAATATCCATACCAACTGTATATTATTCCTCCTTGATAGCACTTGTATCCCACAATGGTTTTAATGCAATGGAAAGAGTACTGGCTCTAGAGACTGACGATCTGGATTCAAATCTTTGACATTCGTTATTTGTGTGACCCTAGATAAGTAAATTACCCTTCCTGGGCCTTAGATTCCATAATAATAATAACTAGCATTTATATTGAACTTTAAGGTTGGTAAATCACTTTACAGATATGTTATCTCATTTGATCCTTATAAGAACCTGGGGGGTTAAAGTGACATTACCATTCCCATTTTACAAATGAGAAAATTGAAGCAGAGAGAGGTTAAGTGACTTGTCTAGGGTCACATAGCAGTTAAGAGTCTGAAGTGGCATTTGAATTCAGGTCTTCCTGACTCTGAGTTCATTACTCTATACATTGCTCCACTTACCTGCTTCTCATGAGGGACTAAATGGCCACTAATGTCCTTTCTAGATCAATCATCTTATGAAAGCAATTTACTGATATGTAGAACTATGATACTAAGAAATTATGATGGAATTTTAGGACCCATGATGAAGAGTTGGAAGATCTCAGTTCAAATCTTGGCTTTACTGCTGATTACCTATGTGACTTTAGACAAGCCATTTCATTTCTTTGGGCTTCTGCAAAATTAAGAGGTTGGCCTCCATAACTGCTAAGATCCCTTCAGGGTCTTTATCTCTGAACCTGTTAAACAGTGTTGGGCAGAGTTTTTTGCTCCCTCTCAAAACATAATGCCTAGACAAGGGCCTTCATTGGCTATATGTTAAAGTCAGACTTGCTGATGAATATGCTTAAGTTGAAAGGTAACACATCTATAACAAGAACTGTCTCCAGTTCTACAGAATGTTAGAAATGACCACTGCTTTGCAGGCCTTCAGTTTGAACTAGGAGACTTAGCCTCACATCAGTTGGAGGGGACAGCATTAATTTGTGGCTGGCAGAGATTTAGGGAACATAAATTATTTTTGAAAACAATGATTTTTTTTTGTATATTTGGATATAAGGATTCTATGTTTAATACAACTCTGTTACTCTTTTGGAACACTGTATTTGGCATTCCAACTTTCTTTTTTCTTTTCTTTCCATCTATGTGCAGACAGTAACATATCCACATCCCAGAAAAGAAATAAACAGTGGGTGTTCAATAAAATCATGTTGACTGACTGGAGTAGAAACTCCACTATTAGAATGGAATGTTGACCAACCAGTATTTTATTAGGAACAACAAGTCTGTTTAATCAAGTTTTATTAAAAATAACATGCTTTATTTCTTGCCATAATAGAACAATCTCTGTCTATGAGACAAGGCAGACTTTCATAATGCTTCAGAAGACAGGGTTTTCTGGGTTTAAGACCCCTAAATAACATTGTTGTAACAGGTGACTCACATGTGACATCAAAGGGCAAAGCTGGACGTTCGAGGCCTAATCATCCCTATCAAAGGATATGGCCAGTTGCCTATTTAGGGTAGCCTAACCAGAGAAAAATTACAAAGGCAGCATAGTGAAAAGTTTGAAGTTAAAAAGACTCAGAATCAAATCTTCATGATATTGGACAAGACACTTAACCTTTCTGGGCCTTAGTCTCACCATCTATAAGATGAGAGGGTTGGACTAGATGACCCCTGTAAATATGTTCCCAAGTTTGTATTTGGCTTCCTTCTATCTTTCTTTTACAGTGTTCCATTTTCCCACCCATCCTATACTCTCTCTCATCCTTTATTGTAATAAATACCTATTCTACATTTCATTTCAGTGAATTCTCCATTCATTTTTAATTAGAAGATGATAAGATTATTAGAAGGGACATTAAAGATCATCTAGTCCTCCTCTACCCATTTTACAAGATGAGGAAACTGAGGCCTGGAGAAATTAATAACTGACCCAAGATAAATACCAAAGCCAGGATTTCAAGCTAAAAGTGCTCCAACTTCAGAACCAAATAATTATTAACTGATGAGGTACAAGACATTCTCTCCTTCCAAGCATATTTGTACTTTAGTAGAGGTCACTTCAAGACTAAAGAGTCTTCAAGAAGCAAAAGAATAAATCTCTAATGGCAAAATTTATCCAGGCACAAAGGAGTCTGCCCAGTAGCTCTCA